TCATTGAAAAACATCATTCCTCTGGGAGATGTTGCTTGGTGGTAGTGCTCACCAGCATGCATAAGGACCTAGGCTTAAATGGATACTACCCTGCAACCACTGAGTTGAGTTTGTGTCTTAGTGTAAAAGTAACTTTTATTTGCCTGATGCAAGTGTCCTCTCAGAGGTTTACTGCCTCTGTCTGCTAACCTAGACCTAGCCCTGGAAGCTTCTAGCCTCCATACAATCTAATCCAGGTCTAGAATGTTTTCAGCCTCTGAGACTTAAATGCCAAATAAGCTCAATCTCTCTCTTGTTTTTTCTGAACTCTGGCTGGCTGATTCAACTCAGCTGTTCTGGTTCAAACTCCTCTCCAAGCTGACTGATTCAAACTGGCTTCTCTCACTTCTGACTGAATTGCTCTGCTTGGCCTCTAACTAACTCTAACAATTTGCTCTAATCTTCTGTCTCCTCAGTCTCTGGTTTATTCTGTCTTCACCCGTGTATAGCTTGTTTCTCACTTCAACCGCTCTCTGTAAAGCTCTCCCAGTAAAACTGTCTCTGAATTCCACAGACTGAACTGCCGAGAACTCAACTCCACTGCACTGCCTCCAACTCACTGCCTCACCTGAACTGCCTGAACAGAACTGACTAGAACTCAGAGATCTACTTGTCTCTGTCTCCTGGGATTAAAGGCCTGTCTGTATTTCAGCCAGATCAGACAGAGCTAGAAGGTCTTGGGTGTGATCTCTTGACAGGGCAGCCATGTTCTGAATTAAAATTACTGTACATCTTAGTTTGGGTTTATTGCTGTGAATTGGTTTTTGTCAAGTTGACAGAAACTAACCAGCACACTGAAGCTATGAATTCTGTCTAACCAGTGATACATGATGTCAGTACAATAGATATTCAATGGACAGTTTAGTTACTGAAATGTGCCATTCAGGAAACTTAAGGTTGGTTGTTACTTAGTGCTTGAGAGGGTCTCAAGGACATCTAATTAACAGTGCTCCGACCTGCATTGAGTTGTATTACTAGGAAACCAGTACCTGAGTTTCATGCTTTTGTGCAATATACACCAATACTAGAAATGTTACTCATGACTATTTCAGTATCATATACAAAGCAGCATGGGGAAGCCTACTAATTTATCTGATATTTTAGATCAAGACTCATTTGACAAATTCTTGCTTGAAAGAATTCCAGAAAATTTTATGTGGGTACATATTGCCTTAATTAGGGATTTTGTTGCTGCCATGAAACACTGGAGCAAAAGCAAGTTGAGGAGAAATGGGTTTGCTTGGCTTACACTTCCGATGATTGGTATTTTTTTTAAGATTTATTTATTTATTCATTTATTATGTATACAATGTTCTGCCTACATGTATTCCTGCATGCTATCATTCTAGATGGTTGTGAGCCACCATGTGGTTGCTGGGAATTGAACTCAGGACCTTTGGAAGAGCAGCTAATGCTCTTTACCTCTGAGCCATCTCTCCTGGCTTACACTTCCGAATTGTAGTCCATCACTGAAGGAAGCCAGGATAAGAACTCAGCCAGGACAGGAATCAAACAGGGAAGGAACCTGGAGGCAAGAGCCACTGCAGAGGCCACAGAGGGTGCTGCTTACTAACTTGCTTAGGTTGCTTTGTTATAAAACCCAGAACCACAATAACAGGGATGGTACTAGCCACAATGGGCTGGAACTGCCCACATCAATCACTAATTAGGAAAATGCTTGACAGGCTTTGCCTACAGCTCAGTCTTACAAAGGCATTTTCTCAATTGGGATTCCCTGCTCTCAGATGACTCTGGCCTCTGTCAAGTTGACATAAAATTAGCCAGGAGAAAATATATCTCTAGATATACGTATCCTTTGAGAGATGTGATGTACCACAAAACCACAAATGCTGTTTTTCTTCTTTTAAAATTTTTAATTATTTATTTTATAGGTATGGGTGTCTATATACTACATGCATGCTTCATACACACAGAGGCCAGAAAAGGGTATCAGATGCCCTGGAACTGGAGTTACAGAGAGTTATGAGCTGAATGTGGGTGCTGGGAATTGAACCTGAGTCCTCTGTGTCATTGACACATTTATGCTTCGATAGCAGTGCCGGGAAGTGGTTGTGGTGGGAGGTGGTGCCTGTAGCAATAGGCAGAGAGAGAGAGAGAGAGAGAGAGAGATAGAGAGAGAGATAGATGTTTTTTCTCCATCAAAATCTGTCTTTATCATTTTGGGGATGGCTGGTATGAATAACAGAAGCTGTATGAGATTCTATGCGATCTGTCAAGAAAATAACTAATGGCAGAGAATGACTCAGGCACAGAACTTTTCAGTCTTTCATGACTGTTGACAACCCCTTTATATTCTTGCCTTTTACACTCTTTCCCCTTCTTCTTTTCCTGTCTCTAGTCTCCCCTGTCTTGACCCTTTTCTTCTTAAATTGTTACATATTTTTAGTCTTCTTCAGTCTGTGACAGTTCTAGTTTTTTTTTGTTTTTGTTTGTTTGTTTGTTTTCCTTGTGACCTTGACACTCTTAAAATTTTTCAGGAACTCAGAATTTTTCTCAATTTGAGTTTGTGTGCTGATTTCTAATGAAATGATTGAGGTTATAAGTTTTGGCCGGAATGTTTTGAAGGTGAGGTGCCCTTCTCATCACACTGGAGTGGGTCGTATCCACATCACTTTTTGTTGTTATTTTGAGACAAAGTCTCTCTGTGTACCCCAGGATGGCCTGGAATTCATGATCTTCCTGTCCTTATTTCTCAGAGTGCCAGAATCATAGCAGAACCCAAATATTCAACTTCTTTGACTTGTTTTGAATATTGCAAAAGTAAAGGTCAAATTGAAAGACATAAAAATACTACTACACACACTTGCTCTTTAAATCCACAAGGAGTATACATTGACATAAGTAAACAAAAGAAGAGGAAGAAAGAAAAAGGGAATATTTATCATTGCTGAAAATGAGCGTGTTACCACCATGTAATAGGTGCTTAATTCTCTACAGGGGCACAATTCCAGCTGGCAGAGAGGGACTGACCAGAGTGGTGGAGGAGCCACCTGTGATGAGGATTTGTTTCCTTAGAGGCTACTGATCTTGGACATTTATATGACTGAAGGTGTAATGTGCTATTGAGAAAAACAACTTTGCTCCGTCGGGGATTGGTCCTCCACTGAGTTGGTGATGGTGGTTGAATAGTCAGTCTGAGCCCGTCTGGTTGCTTAGGAGGCAGCACAGGTAGTGACCTACACTTGCCATTGGAGGAGAGATTTGATGACCATAGCTTCATCCTAGATATTTATGTCAAATCTTTACCTGACAGTCCCTCAGATTGTTTGCCGCAAGCATTCCATGCCCTTCAACATCTGCCCTAATTCTTATGCTGCCCCTGTCCGCTTTTCTTCTCTTCTGTTGTTTCTGCCCCTCACTCCCCATCTTCTGAACAGGGTCACTAATGCTTACCTTATGGTCCCAAGTAATTTTCAAGTATGTCCAGACACTACAAATCACCAAAAAGTGCCTTAAGCTTGAAAACATTTATTGAGTATTTATTGTGGTACTTATTTTTTTCTATGCATGTGGGAACTGTCAAAGCTTATTGTTGGAAAATTTATCTCCCCTCCACTTCAAGAAGACAGTAACCCTCAGCTATGGGTTCATGCAAAATCTCTCCTATCCCGAGGAAGATAGCAACTATTATTAACATGCATCCACTTATTTTTTTAAAGGATAATTATAGAGCAAAAAGACAGTGTGGGGGCCTCTGTATAACTCAAGAATAACAAGAGGAAGTGGCGATTGAGTGATTTCCTACTAATACTCTGACATTAGAACAGAGCCTACTCATTGTACATGGTTATGTGATGCACAGGAATGAGCTTGAAATCCTAGGGGCTTGGTTTGAACTTAGATTTTACTCTGTACTGTCTGTGCGATCTTGGATGAAGCAGTTGTCTTTCATGACTCGATGTTCCTGAACACTGCCACTAAGATAGCTAGTGGGTGCATAAAACACTGGAGTACATTAGCATAGTAAACTGCACACACAATTGGAAGGCGTTGAGGAGGGAGATTTCACTGATTTTTTATTGACATTTCATCTTGAACCAGAGGTGCTGGTAGTATTGTTTTGCTAGTGTCAAAAAAAAATTTTTAGCAGATAAATCCTGTTCCTTATTGACATCCAATTAATTTAAAAATGAATTAATGAGTTAATTAATCTATTTTTAAAAGTAATTTTTGCAAGTATGTGTATTTTACTGGGAGTTGAACCTGGGGTTTAGCTGCTAGAATAACTTTGGAGCTTTTAATGTTAAGATTCAACAATTCATTTATTCTTTCACTTAGATAACCCTTTAGATAATCAGTTCGCAGCCTGGGTTCTCCAACGATCCTTTCACGGTAATTGCCTAAGACCACCAGAAAACACAGATTACAATTCATAATAGTAGGAAAATTACAGTTATGGCGTAGCAACAAAAATTTTATGGTTTGGGGTCACCACAACTGAGGTACTGTATTAAAATGTTGCAGCATCGGGAAGGTTGAGAACCACTGCCTTAGATTATTTGAACTACTCTTTTTTTTTTTTTTTTTTAACCTAGTGCCCATAGCCTCTTCTACCCACAGTAAACGTGGTGGAGAATGCTTAATCCTGACCTCCTGGGCCCTCAACAAAGATGGCTACCGCACTTCCTGTTTTGCCCTCAACAAAGATGGCTGCTATACTTCCTGTCTAGGGCTTTTACCCTCAACAAAGATGGCGTTTACGGCACAGGTTCCCTAACAGTTTGGATTCCGGTTGTAGTCTTTTATTTATTTATTTATTTATTTTAAAGATACGTGGTCGCAGACGTAAGTAATAGGAATCCATCTCCTCTCGAAATCCCCGCGCTGCGGCGACATCGCCCCTGCGCGGCTCTCTCGTCTCCATTTGCTCTGGTCTCCGAGCTGCGCCCGGGTTTGGGTGGCGGTGCCGGGTGTTGGGTTCCTCGGTGAGGATCATTCCGCGGGTTCATTTGCCCTGAAAATCGCTGGCAGTTCTTCCTGTCTGTGGCACAACGACGGTTTTCAGCCACCGAGACAGGGAGTTTTTAAAAGTTCCCAATGGAAGCGCGCTGCCAAATACGGTCACACGCCCCCTCCTCACCTGCCGCCTCAGGACTCTGCAGAGGATTGCGAGGAAGGCTGGGATCGGATGTTCCCCGCCTGTGGTCTGTGGGTGCCGGACGCCCAGCCGTCACCCCTGCTTCCCCTGACGCCCCGTTACCCGCCTTGTCACCACACAGCCACCTCTCGGTACACTAGCGACCTGCGCTCATTAGGTGTCCCATGCATGTGCGGTTACAGCCGTAGTGGGACCCAGATTCTGAATTCTTGTAAGGCATTCCTTCCTTCCTGTTACTGTATATACAAGGCTTATTTTAAGAGACACACAGTTACTTGTTTTCTTGAAGGTGCTGGTGCTGTGCAGGCCTTGTCTCTTGGTAAGAAAGATCCTGAAACTCTTTCTTACCTCCAGATTGTCTTCCATTGCTGTTCAGGGTCTATAAATGTCCCTGGTCATTTTAGCAGTTTCTGCAAGGTGGGTGCTGGACTAAGTGGGGAAAGCAATATTAAATTAAAATTCACTATTCTTTTGCATGCTAAATTAAAAGCTGCTTTATAATCCTCAGGGATTGCATTTTAAGTAAGGGCTCATCTCTGTTTTCTGTTGGATCTCTTCTGAACAAGGAGTTGAAATAGGGCCTCATGATGTAAAGAACAGAGATAGAAACGGGTTCATAATCAGTGCTGTTCATTATGTTTGGAAGCATTTGAAAAGAACTTGGTGTGGCTTATCAGCCTTATAGGAAGATGTGAAGACCTGGCTGACCTTGAGGTGCTTATTCATGATGTGCCAGCAACACTGTCTTCAAGGCTCCATTGGCATGCCCGCGATCTGAGTGCTGGTTTTGTCTCTTTCAAGGGAGGGATGGATGCCAGAGACAAGCAAGTGCTCCGCTCACTGCGTCTGGAGCTGGGTGCGGAGGTACTGGTGGATGGACTGGTTCTTCAGTACCTTTACCAGGAAGGAGTTTTGACAGAAAACCACCTTCAAGAAATCAAAGCTCAGACCACAGGCCTCCGCAAGACCATGCTGCTGCTGGACATCCTGCCTTCCAGGGGCCCCAGAGCATTTGATACCTTCCTAGATTCCCTCCAGGAGTTTCCCTGGGTGAGAGAGAAGCTGGAGAAGGCAAGAGATGAAGCCACAGCTGAGCTGCCTACAGGTAGGCCTCAAAGAGATCACTTCAGAACAGCTGCGGAGTCATTCCAGCTCCATGCCCTTTGGATTGGGAGTTGGTGCTTCAGGAAGGGGCAGGGATCAATGGTTCAGGAACATGGGCAACAGTTTGGATTGAGAGGGCATGGCCGTGGAGAGGCAGGATGAGGAGGCGGTTTTAGGAGGCTCAAGGGAAGCTGAACCATGAGACAGGAGGGAGCTCAGAGCACAATTCAGATACGCTTCCAGGGAAACTTGGCAGTCACTTGGGAGGCCTGTTCTCATCAGAGAGCCAGGTCAATCTGAGCCCTTTGGCAACAGGAGTCGTTTGGAAAGTGCAGACGGGAAAGCAGGCTTTGGCCTACTGATAACTGATTTGTGGGGTGCCAAGTTGCCAGCTGGGGGAGGTCAGATGATGGGAGACAGCCTCTAGGAAGGCCTGGCCTGCACTTGTCTCTCCAGCCAGCCTCTGAGGCCACGGGGATTATTTGCCTTAGTTTGTTTGTTTGTTTAAATTTTAAAAGTTGGCCTTTTAAAATTCAGGTTTTAAACACCTGGGGCATTTTGTTTCACAAAGGGAGTAATTTGGGGGAGAATGGCATTTGGATTTTTAAGGAGAATTGGAGGCTGTGAAAAGAGCCCTGTTCCTGGCTTGTGAGAAGAAGGGGCTGTTGCAGAACACACTCTTTTCTCTAACTCCTCTCAGCAGAAAGATCAATTGACAGCAAAAGATTAATTTTTTTAAAGAATATAATGGAAAGTTGCTCAAATCAGCTGACCCAAACTGAGTTAGTAGGTTTTTCTGACTTAAAAATTCAACATTCTCTAGGTTTTTGATAAAGATACAGGACCATGTCAGTGGTCTCCAGTATTTATTGTTACTGTTTACTGTTTAAAAAAAAAAAAAAGTGTATTAGAGCCGGCCGGTGGTGGCACACGCCTTTAGTCCCAGCCCTTGGGAGGCAGAGACAGGTGGATCTCTGTGAGTACTGGGCCAGCCTGGTCTACATTGTGAGTGCTGAGACAGCCAGGGCTACATATAGAGATCCTGTCTCAACTCCCACCTCCCTTTTTAACTGGTTAAAAAACCAAATGCTGTGGGTCTTATATTTTGAATGGTTTTGAGACCACTTATATTAAGTAATCATAATTAATTCTTTTTTTTTAAATCAATGATATATATCTAAAATGACCAGAATGGGAGGGCCGGTTAATTTAGAAAGACCTGGTAAACATTCAGTTGAAATTCTAAAAATATCTTTATTCCTAGCTCGTCCAAATTACATGTCTTTTTGAAACAGTGAAAATGCTGGCCTTTGAGGACCTCTAGAATCTACAGCTGGGATTGTAATTAGAAAATTACATTTTTCATGTGTCAGAACAAAGCCAGGGCAAAATATCTCTGACATTTCAACCACTGTATTAAAAGCAGAATATATAACATAGAGTTGGGGAGGTGTGAATGATTGTGCTTTTCTGGTATTCACTTAGAAATCCTCCCTGGCTACATGTAGTTGGAAAGGACAAAATAACTAAAAGCCTTTCACTCTCAAAATGTTTAGTTTACTTACGTGATTATTTTGGTCGTATGAATAGTTTTGTCATGAATCGTCCTAGAAATGTGACCCTCATTTTCAGTTCTCCAGAGAGCAAGACAGAATTAAGGTTGATCCTCAACAAATTATGAAAGTTAAGGAGAAGCTAAGGGGAAAGCAGCTTTTAAATACAGTTACTATTTTATTTGTTTGAGTATTTTGCCTGCATGTCTGTGTGGGTACCTGGTACACGTGGAAGTAAGAAGAGAGTGCTCGATCCCTTGGAACTGGAGTTAGAGATGGTTGTGAGCTGCCATGTGGTAAAAGGAAATGAAACCAGGTCCTTTGCAAGAGCAGCCAGTGCTCTTAACTGAGCCTCCTCTCCAGCTTTGAAAAGCAGTTTTTAAAAAGGAAGTAAAATGGAGCAGTACTTGGTGAGAAAAAACTTTAACATATCTGTATACGCTTTGAGAAATGGGTTTTTCCCAAGGTTTGTTAACGCAGTAAAAGGGCTTCCAGTGGAAAACTAGATTGGCTCTGTAACAAATAAGTCTTGTGATTAACTAATTAATTCCATTAGTGAAAAAAAAAATTGTGACTTGGGGATTTGATTTCTTGGTGACGATTATATAAATGCATTTAAAAATATTCCTGTGGTTAAGTATTGACTGTTTAAAATAATACTGAAAATATAAGGGAGGCACAGACACTCACGGTACAGTCAGTACCTGTCCATACTCCCGTTAAGAAAGTGGCACTCCATTCAGGTTAGCTCTCTCTTTGCCTGGTACTTGCAGATGTGTGCTGTGGCAGGGTCATGCCTGCCTGTCTGCAGCAGGCAGACATGATGGTCATGGACTCTAGCCCTCTAGAACCGTAAGCAAGCCCCCAACAAACTCTTTATAAGAAAAAAGGAAAATACCTTTGAGAACCCTGTCATTCCTGACTCTTACAAATATGCCATGAATTTGAGGTTTGTCATTCATTCGCTTCTTCATTTGTAGTTTTCTAGCTCACAAGAATCACTTTAAAAATTCTTATTGAGTATTGAAAATCTACTATACCATAGGATCTAGTGGTAAATGTAGCACTCATTTTTCAACCATATTTTATTTGGGGTATTTATGCCTCTCCCTCCCTTTCACCAACCTCCCAACCCTAAGTAGGAAAGAGAGAAAAGGCTAGAGGGGCCCTAGACCCCTTTACTTCTCCTGGCTGTTTAGGGTCAGTGGTTATTTATTTGTTTATTTATTTATTTATTTTAGGACTATACTAATCTCTGTCAACAGCAAATGCAGCCAGCAGTCTCCTCCAAGCTGCTGCACCCCAAAGCATTTCTTTCTGTCTGCTCCAAACCACCACACTGTCAGTCTCTGGTCTCTTCAAACTGCACACACCAAATGTCAGCACACCACACCACACCACGCTCTCCGTTTCTCGTCTCTCACATTTATATCCTCAGAGCCCTAGACCTCGCCCCTCTGTGCTTATGAGGCAGGCCGTTACCAGCTGGCAAAAGCCACACCCCGCTTGAGACAGTTAACAGCTGTAGACAAACTAAAGCCCAAATAAAATCCCACACTTGGGATTAAAACAAAAACATATTTACAGAACATAACTGAGTTTACAAAGAAAACAAAACTTTTATTACAGATAAATGTGTATACCTATCAGATACATATATATATGTATGTATATGTATGTATGTTTTGAGGGTAAGGATGGAAGAAATATATTTTAAAAGTAGTTGATGCTTAATTGCTTTGTTATTTAATGCCTTAGATATTTTAAGTGTCCAATTTCATGAAAATATGATTTTAAAATTAAATTGAGGTGTAGTGAATTGAAGCTTGTGTGGATGTTTGGTTCTTCTTTGGGAGGAAGATGAGGAGAAGCTTAAAGCCATGGCCTAGCATCAGAGGTGAAATGTCTTTCAGCTTAATGTCTTTGGAAAAAGAGCCAACAAATCCAGAGGCCTATTTTCTGGGACCTCAGTGTTTCTCGAATATGGTGTCAGAACAACATAGCACACTTCTAATTTTGTAAAGGCATCTTGGATTTTGAGACCTCAACTCAGGGAGAATAGGCTGTTTGTGAGGCTGGCATACAGTAACCTTTTCTTCCTTTTTGCTCTGTTGGTTGTGATTATTCATAGGATGGGTTTGGTGCCCTGCCCTTGGGAAGCCTTGAGAAGAAATGAGGAGGCGCGGCCTTCTCTGAGCCAAGCTCTTGATCCTCGAGAATAAAATAACTTTATTTTTACTACAGTTTTCTGTTTTGTTCCTCTGACAGACTCTCGGTTTTCCCCTTCTTTGTGTATTAATTTCTGTGTTTCATTTCTATATTTTGAACTCAGACTTTTTTTGTGTTATCTTAGTTATTTGCTTTCTGTATAAATGCTGAATGTAAGATTTTTTTAGAGTACAATTGAATTGTGTTTCATTCTCTATACCTCTAACTCCCACTTCTCAGCAAATCCTCAGACATAAAAAAAAAAAAAAATAGGCTACCTGAATCTTCTGATTGCATCTCTGAATTTGCTAAGGTCTCCCAATCTCTGTTTAAAAAAATAAAGTATAAAAGTCAGAGACGTAAGTGATAATTGTTTTGTGCTTTTCCTCACCCCACAAGGACTCTTACCTTTTAAAAGAAGAATTCTGCCGATAAAATGACTTAATCCACCTTGGCACAGTAGAAGGAACACTTCGCTGTGGCCAGGGTCACACACTAGACATTAGATCAGCTGGAAGTCCCCGCTGGGCTCCTGCTGGGTCACTTTAGGAGACAGGACAGCACCGCCAGGGTGTGGTGAAGGCAGCCAGTGGCTGGTGGCCTGGCCCCCTCCCCCTCCATGAGTCTGTTTGCGCACAGCTCTCTTTAAGTGCCGGAGCTAATCTGGCTTGGGAAAGCAGCTTTTGCTGAAGGCCTGGCCTTACTATCTGATGGGACTTAGTATATGTAAGGAACGGTGGAGTGGTTCCTGGGCCACAGGACTTTCTGTTCCACCTTGTTTGCTCTGTCTTGGCTGTAGGGCTGCAGCTCTGCCCTGATTCTCGCTTCCACAGTCTTCTGGTAGCCCCGTCTTTCCTCTTGTCTTCCCTTTGGCTTAGGCTTCCTTTTTCTCTCCCTTATCAGATTCCTGAGTTGTATGTGCTAAGCCACTAGCAAGAGTGAGGCCCAGCTCTGCCTCCTGCCTGGCATCAGTGGCCCCCCTGAGGCTAGCTAGCCCTTGTCTCAGCATTGCCTGACCTTCAGTGGGTCATCCCAATGGACGCTCTGTCCTGGATTGCCTGGCTGTCCTCACTGGTGCAATACACCTCTCCTGCGCAGAGGCTCCAGGCCCAGCCTGCCCCTTGTGAGCTGGCCTTGAGTGACCCAGGCGAGCGAGTGAGCGAGCGACATCAGCTGCTCTGCTAAGAGTTACATTTCTGCACTGAGGTATATGCCTGGGTGTATCTGAAGTTACTGAGCA